TCCCCTGTCACAAGGACAGATACTGGAAAACATTCCTGCCCACTGCAATAACTCTGTACAATAAATCACCTCTGGCTGGAAGAGAACTCTCTGCTCCATAGTTTCTCTAGAAACTAAACAACGTTGTACATTTTACTCTATAATCTGTTCAATATTTATACTCCATATTCCATATATTTTGAATATATATATATATATATATATTTGTATATATATATATATAATATCTGCATGGATATTTTATATTTCAACATGTATATTTTATATTTTCTTTTCTTTTTCTTTCTATTCTTGTATATTTTATAGTTTTGTTTTATTGTAAAATGCCTTTTATGCTGCTGTAACAACAACAATTTCCCAATTTGGGATCAATAAAGTACTATCTATCTATCTGAAGTATGTGTATTCACCGGTATTCACTCTCTGTCCTAAACGGCTCCTGCCCCCCCCTCCCTGTGAGCCCAGTGTGCTCTGATTGGTCGGGACGTTGCGAGGCTCGCTGCTCAGTGAGCTGGCTTACTGGTGTGGTTTCCGGGTCTGCGATACAGCGGGACAGCGCGAAACTCATCCTGAGCACACACAAACACTCACAGCCGAATAAGTGTGGCTTGATATTGAGAAAGAAAAAGGTTTATAACGCTGTGAGAATGGGTCTGCAGAGAGCATTTCTCCACCATCCCAACTCGTCTATTACCAACCAGGGAGCTCTATGCAAGTCAATAGGCGCATTTACACCGCAGTACTTTTCCCACAAAGGTTAATCAGAACTTAGTTCATGAGAACTTTTTTGTTCTCATGAACTAAGTACAGATCGCGTTCACACCGGAATAAGTCCCTGGGGTTGGATTAGGCAAATGAAGCCGCTGACATCACTTCTTCTTCTTCTGCTTTGGGTTTACTGGCAGGCCGCAAACAACTTCACGGCGTATACTGCCGCCCGAAGAACCCGGCCGGAAGTCCCCGGAGTTAGGGAACTAACTCTAACTTCCGAGTAAATCGCCAGAACGCCGACACCTCCTCATCTCCACCGCTCCCATGTTTTCTTTTGTGTTGCCATAAGTTAGTCTCTCTGCGTTTGTGCGCTGGGCTAATGCTAATGCTAATAATGCTAATGCCAGGATAATAAAATGGCGGCTTCACAAAACTTTGGGAGCGGGAGTTTTACGGGGGCGTGGTTCGCCCAGCCAATCAGAAATAGGAACCTTTTTCTCCCACGAAAGTCCCTGCTCTCTAGCAGGGACGGAAAAGGGGGTAAAAAAGGTTCTGATGAACTAATTTTAGTTCCGGCTCTTTTTGGTGTGAACGCGACATTTCGGAACTATATCGGAACTACAGTGGGAAAAGTACTGCGGTGTGAACGCGGCTAATGGGACTCCCTGTTAGTTGAAAATGTACGCTAAATGTCCCCCCACTGCGTTTGATAGTGACGCCAAGGGATCCTGGTGTGTGAGGATCTTCGCGGATTGGTCCATTTTGGTTCCCGGAAGAAACAAATGGAAAAAGAGATCTCCAACGAGGCGTTCTGGGGCAGCATAGACAGGTCTTTTCTGTGTTAGAGTTTTACTCGCTACAGGGTGTACTTTGAGGGTTTGTGACTCTGCACACCGTTTACATGCAGAAAAACCTTCATAACACACAAGGGGACGGGTAATAACCGGAAAAGCATGACATGGGACCTTTAACTCTCTTAACACTTGTGAAGTACTTTTAACATTTTTGAAGGTGCTCCATAAAATGTTTGACCATTCTTTCCCTTACATTTCCCAAAGGTTAGAGCGCTGCCATGTTTGTTGGTTTGGAATGTTGACTGTTTAATATAGTGCTTTTCTACTTGCAAGATTAAGTAAAAAGTTTGCTTTGTGAGAACCTCCGAACAAAAGTGATTACTTTGGGCCTGACAGTAGCAGTCCAGTCGTCGCATTAGCTAATGTTCTCCCACAAAGTGCTGTGTAGGCAGACTATTGTTCCCTGTGGGGCTGCTGCTGGTTTCAAAGCACTGTGTTATTTCTTTATTTGTGACTCAAACACATCCTATTTTCTTTCCTTTTACAAGGTTTTCTCCCTTAAAGCATTGAGCAGCTCACTGAGTTATGCTGAGTGTCTCAGTGCTCTGCCTGGGTGGGATATGTAGCAACTTCATGAGACCACTTGCTCTTAGTGGTCTTTTCTCTGAGCTTACACTTGAGTTGAGTCGGGACTTGAAGAAATCCACAAAATCGCCCGAAGCCCTCAATTATTCCTATCCTTAACCATGGCAGAGTTTTAGTAGCCTAAACTTAATCAAACCTTTACCACCAACCCTGAAAATCAAGAAAGCCCACATTTTTTTTTTTTGGAGGGCAACACCAAATTAGGTTGCATGATTTGTTCAGGTAATTACTGTACAGACTTTTAAAGTTTGATATGAAAAAAGAATATAACCCCATAACAAGGGAGGCATTCATAGCTAGCCTAAGTCACATGTAAACATTCTGGCTGTCTAGAACCCCAAACAGCTGTCCCAGAACCAGTTCAGGTCCCCCAGTCATTGTTCTGTTTGTGTTTCCAGTCTAGTCATACTCTAATACTGGCTCCTTCCAGTTATAATGATTATTCTACAAAACCTTGCAAACGAGACAAGTAACGGAACATTTTTACTCAAATATAGAGACTCAAACAACAAAAAGGAATTTATTGGATGGCTGTTTGGCTTCCGATGAATTGAGTCCTCTTGGTCCAGAGTCTGTCCTGGGTGAATCCATATTGCAGTGTTGCAGGCAGCCTTCACTCTGGTGCTGCATTGCCATCAGTCACATTTGTACACTCCAGGAAACAAGCTAAACAGACACCAGATGGGCTGAACAATACAGAGCTCATTCAAAGAAGAGCTTGGCCCCTGCAGATGTGTTCGCTGAGTGGCTGCAGTAAGCAGTCCCAGATTGACGCTGGAGCTCCCAGCTAGCTCAATACATGGAGGAATGTTAAAACCTCCTAAAGCCGACTTAATGTCAACAGTAATAATGATGATGGTGAGGAAGATGAAGAATTGGATGTACTGGAGGATCTAAGTTTGGTGTGAGCCAAGTATTTTGTCAGCTCATTATTGTCACGGGCAGGAGGTAATCAGGACCCAAATGCAGAATAAGGAGATGGGGTATACAAGTAAAGTGAGTCGTCTAAAACTAACCATATATCAACCTGTTTTTCTTTGCCATAATCTTTCCCTGATTATCTTATCTTTCCATGCACACAACATGTACTGTATAAAGAAATGCTAGCATCAGATGTATTTTGGTGTTTGCAGAATTATCCAAGGTAGATTTTAAGGATGAAAAAAGATAGCTTAGGAGAGAGTTCTATTCCCACCTAAATGTCAGCCCTCACTAACCGCTGAATGAAGACATTGAATGTTGGGGTGGCACAGTTTCCCACCAATGCAAATGCTAGACGGGACGTTTGGAATGCTGTCACAGAATCTGACAGTCCTTGTTTGAAACACACTCTGACCTTCTCTTCCTTTCCTATGGGCGGGGGTTGCTGTTGTTGTGGGGGTACAGTTTATTGGCGATTTTCAGCACTTGACTGTTCATTTAGTTGTTACTCAGTTTGACTGAGGTTCTATCCCCTGTGCCACACAGTACAGAGGGTTTTTGTATATCAGTGTATTTCACCACCTGTTTCTGATGACAGCTCCAGATAAACGTCTCCTGATGCAGTCCTCTGATTCTTGGTGTCGTGGATGTTTTGATTCTTAAACAATATCAAATGTTTTGTTGAAATGCAAACCATTTGAAGACTCAGAGCCTTTTCCAAAATAAAGCATTTAGAAATGATTAGACCACATTTAGAGTTCTGGATTCCTGTCCTTACAGAGTGGTAGCAATGGGAATGATCAGGAGGAGGTTAGTTGGGAAAAAGGGACCCCCCAGCAAACTACTGTGTAAGTTGTTGAACTAGACGTGAGCCAAACCCAGAGATAAACATACACTTTCAGTGTAAGCACATGTTCTGACAGAGTTCATCATAATATCTCTGACACTGTCAGAATGTGTGCACAGCTACATATAATGGGTGTATTTCATTTCATTCCCTTTTAAATATTTAAATATAGAGTATGTTGAGGTTTATATCTTGTGTCAGAAGCTATATTATAAAGAAAACGGAGAACATGTTTTTTGTCTTGGCTTTATTAGACTTAGAATCAGATTTGAGTTTATGGTAGGTTTACACATACAAAGAATTTGCTTTGGTGTTTGGTGGTGCGAACAGCATAAGGAAATAAGTTGTGAGAGAATAATAGAACGATAATACAAATAAAATATATTAAAAAAACGTTTTAACATTAAAGAGGATAAAGACAGTATTTCCATCAAATATAAATATACAAAATAAACCAGAAAACTCAGTACAATGAGGAGTATGTTGTCAGTATTAGCTGACCATCCTTCGTGTATGAACCCTATAAAAACATATTTGCCTCCCTATAATATGACACCTAAATATCTCTATCAAATTAAATCAAATCAAATCAAATCAAATCAAATTAAGTTTTATTTATATAGCACATTTATAAACGATTTTTGGTCGAGCCAAAGTGCTGTACATATAGTAAAAAAAAACTCTACAGTAAAGACATTTTACAGCTAATACAACAGCACAGTTTGTTCAGAATATCTGTACACTTGAAGTGAACCAGTCTGTGCAGCTTCACATTCAGTCACTCTGCAAATGGAGATGCTGCAGCTGTGCAAAGGGTGCTAGGATTATTTACTCAATCAGAGGCATTTTTAATACCTTTTTCAAATATGGAATTACTTATTTTGGCCATGGGACCAGAAAGCTACAAAATAGATCCCCCTGATTGACGTTGCACTGTAGTTCGGCTCAGCTTTAGGTAACTTGATGTTACAGATATCTAGTCACACACACATGCACACTGCAGTGTAAAAAAGGTCTCTGTGTTACTGTTTCTCTGTTTAACGCTGGGTCTCTCTCTTTGTCTCTCTTCCTGTTGATGGTAGGGAAGAAGAAGGAAAAGATGTCCAAAGTGGGTGAGGAGGGTCGGGGGAGGAGGAACGCCATCCGCCTGCATGAAGCCTACACAGTGGAGACGGTGGTGGTGGCCGACTCCGACATGGTGCAGTACCACGGGGCCGAGGCGGCGCAGAGGTTCCTGCTGACCGTCATGAACATGGTGAGCACATCAGAAACAATAACAGCAGGACCCTCTGAAGGTTCATAGGGTCAAATGTAAAATGGTATGTTTTCTGTATAGAATCTGTTCTGTGTAAAGCAGGGGCCTGAGTCTCCCCTCAGACCTTTGAAAAAGAACCCCCCCTTGGGGTGTGCTTCCAAATAGCATCTTTTTCTAGTCACTTATTAAATTGTTCCCATCAAGGAGAGCCTTTGCTGTATCATGTGGCCGCTTCAAGAAACAGCGTTGCACCTGTCACTTGAGCCTTGAGAAGTTGAAAATATCTTGACACTTCATTAGTGTGCTGGAGATGTCACCGTTAACAAATTAATGAAAAGGCTGTTTTTGGACGTGTTTTGTCAGACAAAAACGATCATAAGACCAATAGGACTATTTGTGGCAGGAGATCAGGCAGGAGGACACTGTAAATAATTCCGCTTTATCGTCCTCTGCCTCCTGCTATACGATGTCAGATTCAGAATTGAAGCTCATTCATACAATCTCTGAAAGTGGGCTCCTCCAGTTGGTGCTCATGGTGAAAAGACAAAAACAATCTATGTGAGACTCATGTATGATTGGTGGAAACTGTGGAAAATAACATCCAGAGAGCTTCAGGCTGTTTAGGGCGTGTGCTGCTCAATATTAGGGAAGGGTCACTTTAGAAATGTTTTCTTGAGTGCCTATAAACATTCTATTAAGACATTCTAACGATTGGTGCATTTCCTTCTACTTCTTTATTTAAAGTGTGCAGGTTATACAAAACAAGCCTGACGGAGGTTATTACAGGTGTTTCAGCCATGGGCAATATGTGAACATTATGTAAGCATGATAACATTTGTTAAAAGAAAACCTCAATAAAACTTGAAAATGAGAGTTATATTACATCAAGGCTGTCAAGTTAACGCGTTAATAACGCGCTAACGCAAAAAAAAATTAACGCCACTAATTATTTTAACGCGATTAACGCATGTGTATTTTTTGTCCTCGGCCGCCGTAGTTTCAGAGCGCATCGAGTTTAAAATACCATCTACAAGCTGATGCTGACAGCCCCGCTCCTGCCGCCCGCTTGTGGCAGAGCACACTTCCACGCTCACTGGCAGGCCCGGACTGGCCATCGGGAGGACCGGGAGGGTGTGTGTATGTGTGGCGCGAGCGAGGCACACCTTACGTGTTGTTGTTGTTAGCATCTGGTGCTAGCTAGCTGCGCTAACGGATATAAGGAGCTGTTTCAATGAAAACAGAGGAGCGACATTTCGCCGACAACTGCGCCGAGCACTTGACTTTATGCAGGTAGCCAGACAGTGGGACATTGTACGAAAAGTCAGCACACTCAGCACGGATAGTGCGCGCAACATGATTGCAGCGTCCAGGCAGCTCCCGTTCGAGCATATATGCCTTGAGCTGCACATAGCTCTAACGATCCATCACTATGGGCTCAGAACAGTCTCATAATACACACATGCACACAGAAGGATTCACACTTGTATTTCATGATCCGCAAAAGGATTCACACTTGTATTTCCGGATCCACACTTGTGTTTTTCAATGCACACACAAATGTGTTCCGTTTCATGTACATGTAAATAAAATCCAAATACAGAAAAAAGTTTTACATATGTATTTTTGATCCTCACATATTTGTTTTCCGTTTAAATCCCCTGCACCTGCAAACACAAACCGCTTTCTGTGCATGGATCGCTGTGCATTCGTGTGTGGGTTTTTTGAGACTCCCCTGACGGTGACCCAATTCGTACTTGTAATTTTTTCTATCTATAGCCAATCAGATGTCTCCTTCATTCTAAGCCAATCACATGAGCGCGTCCCCACGAGGGTATGATTTATTGCGTTCATGACGTAGCGCTTCATGTAAGCATTTTGCGCTGTCCGGAGCTGGGTTTCCGCAGACAGAATTAATTTTATCGGACAAATTTGAAACTTACCGGTCATGTTTCAATAATAAGAAGAAGAAGAAGAAGAATTGTGTAGCAGAGTTTCCGTTAGCAGGTAATTACCGGACTATGACCGGATATGGCTAATAACACGGGAGTAACGGATCCCCTCTTTTCCTCTCTCCCTCCCTCTCTCCTGACAGCCCGTCAGTTTCTCATGCAGCTCGCTAAAACTTCACTCGCGTATCCACATCGATCAGATCCAGCTCTCCTGATCGGCCTTTATAGAGAGCACCGATCAAACTATTAAGAGTGAATATCGGCCGATAATGACCGGCGGGGGCTCCCCCCGTTGACAGTTCACTGTCTAGCACTGGCTTCGTAGTGCACTGATCGATCAGGCTAAGCTAACCTGTAGCTGCTCCCTCCACACTCACAACAACTTCATACAGACATAAATAAAGCAGCTGTATTCGCCATACAGGAAACACACATTTAAAACGGTTTTGCCTGCCGTTTTTGTGTACACAAGCCTTCATTAATGGTTCGGAAAGTGGCGCTGTACCTTAATAATATAAAGGCTTGTATTTGCGTGCATTTCCTGCTCGGAAAGTGGCAATGTACTGACAGTGGAAGTATCCTGAGATTAGCGCCTGCAGGCTCCATGGACCTGTCAGCTCCGGACAGCGCAAAATGCGTACATGAAGCGCTACGTCATGAACGCAATAAATCTACCCTCGTGGGGGCGCGCTCATGTGATTGGCTTAGAATTGAGGAGACATCTGATTGGCTATAGATAGACAAAATTACAAATACGAATCGGGTGACCGTCAGGGGAGTCTCAAAAAACCCACACACGAATGCACAGCGATCCATGCACAGAAAGCGGTTTGTGTTTGTAGGTTCAGGGGATTTAAACGGAAAACAAATATGTGAGGATCAAAAATACATATGTAAAACTTTTTTCTGTATTTGGATTTTATTTACATGTACATGAAACGGAACACATTTAGGGGTGCATTGAAAAACACAAGTGTGGATCCGGAAATACAAGTGTGAATCCTTCTGTGTGCATGTGTGTATTATGAGACTGTTCTGAGCCCATACATCACAGTGTCTCCACATTCACACACACACACACACACACACACACACACACACACACACACACACACACACACACACACACACACACACACACACACACACACACACACACACACACACACACCACACACACACACACACACACACTTTGTATTGTATTATTGTATGAGAGGTTCCAGGTTGAATTGAGGCGAATATTTGTAATGTTCAGAGGTTGTTGTGTTTAATATTCATGAGAATATTTGTCATTGTTCAAATGATAATAAACAAACATATAAAGCATATTTGTCCACTCATATGTTGATAAGAGTATTAAAAACTTATAAAAATATCCCTCTAAGGTACATTTAGAACAGATAAAAAATGTGCGATTAATCACGATTAACGATGGACAATCATGCGATTAATTGCGATTAAATATTTTAATCGACTGACAGCCCTAATTATTACCTATACTTTCATAACGATGTAGGTCGACAACACACTTTTTTTCTTTCATAAGAATGTCTTTAAGATTTGAGCTGTCTTGGATGTGATAGTACTGTGAGCCTGCAGCACTGTGTGTGTGAGGAAGTGTGTGCACGTGGCTGCTCTGCCTCTACGCCCAGCTGTTCCTGTCTGAGACTGAGGACAGAGCAGAGGGAGGCATTAGAGATGTTATACACTAAATTACACACAAATGAAGTTGAGACACAAGCCTAAGACAAAGTGTTACAGATGATATATAATCATGCTCATTTTCAGGTTCATAACTATATTTAGGGGGGTAGAAACTATATAGGGCCTCTTTAATCAATAACATCATTAAACTGGACAATAAACATCCACTTGTTATACCAGGGTGTCCGCGGGGTCTTAAAAAGTATTAAAAGTTGATAAATCAATTTAGCGAAAATTAAGGCTATTAAAAAGTATTAAAAAGTATTAAAGGGCATTTTCCAAGGTATTACATTTTGTAGGTTGTTTCCAATAAGTATATAAATTGTCCAAAGAGGTTGTATTCTACAGTCTGCCTGAATGTAATCATTGCCTAGGTGTGTAGTGTGATTCTGTGTAGTTTATTGATGGCATCCCGTTGGATTTGACGTCATCTGAACAGGACATCGCACGCTCACTGCTTGATAGCGCGCGAAGGTCCGTTTACGCCGGTTGTTAAACAACATCGTTATGGGGAAATGCAAGTTTGCGTCCAAATGGTTGGAAGATAAGGAGGAAGGACAATCAATACTGTATATAGTCAATGTGAGGTAAAGTGTGTCGCCAAGGTAACCGGTTAGAACTCAAAGTGGCGATGAGGTCTTAAAATGTATGGAAAGGGTCTTAAAAAAGGTCTTAAAAGGTATTACATTTGACTTCAGGATTCCTGCATATACCCTGTATAAACTCCTGCTCTTGGGTCTGTCCCTCCCTGTCCCTCCCTGTCCCTGCCTGTCCCTCCCTGTCCCTCCCTGTCCCTGCCTGTCCCTCCCTGTCCCTCCCTGTCCCTGCCTGTCCCTCCCTGTCCCCTCCCTGTCCCTGCCTGTCCCTCCCTGTCCCTCCCTGTCCCTGCCTGTCCCTCCCTGTCCCTCCCTGTCCCTGCCTGTCCCTGCCTGTCCCTCCCTGTCCCTGCCTGTCCCTCCCTGTCCCTCCCTGTCCCTCCCTGTCCCTCCCTGTCCCTCCCTGTCCCTGCCTGTCCCTCCCTGTCCCTCCCTGTCCCTGCCTGTCCCTCCCTGTCCCTCTCTGTCCCTCCCTGTCCCTGCCTGTCCCTCCCTGTCCCTGCCTGTCCCTCACTGCCCCCCCCCCCCTCCTCCTCCCTGCTGCTCTCTCAGGTCTACAACATGTTCCACCACCGGAGTCTGGGCATCAGGATCAACATCAGAGTCACCAAGCTGGTGCTGCTCCACAGCCGCCCGGTGAGTGACCCTCTCTGATACCCTGTGTGAGTGTGTGGGAGGTCATGACTCTCAGGAAAGAGGTTTACTTTTCCTCCTTTCAAATGCCAGGGACAGGATTCATGTCCAAATTAAGAATAATCTGCATTTAAGACTTTACATAATTTGTTTCTCATGTATTTCGGGGGTTGTATCTAATATAATGCTCAAATGTTCTACTTTCCACACACAAGATGTTTATAAAAGAAGAATGGGCAGTGAGAACGTGTGCACCTCATACCTCAGATATGCAGTTCACACAGAAAGCTGGTGTGAGGTATGTTCCATTACCAAATATTTCAAAAATATAGAATACGTTAATAGAGTTGAAGGGAGATTAGATGGAATTGCACTTTTTTTTCAAAACGAAATAACAAATTATAACAAAGTTATTATTTATTTCGTTTTAATTACATAATAAGTAAACTGACTGTTAGAGTAAGGCTGATGAACAGGTGGGTTACAGCTGAATGAGACCCTGGGATGCAGTACGGGGAGAGGGTTACTGCTCACTAACAACACTGATCTAAAAAACACAGTGCAACATATACTTTTAATGTTTCCTACTCTATCTGCTACTCTATTTGTTTCATACATTCCCTTACTGTTTTATGCAGCTAGTGATCTTTTCTACCTTGGATTTTAATGTATGTATTGTATTCACATGTGCCTCTTCAGGGGAAGCTGAAGGTGGGCCACCATGGGGAGCGGGCTCTGGAGAGCTTCTGTCACTGGCAGTATCAGGAGTTTGGGTGGCCGCGGTACCTCGGCACCAACCACGTTCCTGGAGGAAGGGACGACATCCCCCCAGTGGACACGGCAGTGCTCGTCACCAGGTATGAACCCAGCACCCCCCCCACATGAAGGGATGAGTCATTTATTACATGGGCTGTCACTTCCATTATAACTGCTGGGAGACTGCTGCTGTGAGGTCGTGCGTTCATTAATCAAAAGGTTGTTGGCGTAATTGCCAGCCCCCGCAGTCAACTTGTTTGATGTAGGTTAAGATAAACTAAGAGTGGGTTAACTAAACCCACTGTTGCTCCTGATGGCCCACAGTAGTTGACTTTGTGTTTTATAAATACAGTCCATTTACTATAAAGACGAAAAATCTCACTTATTCAAGTTTTAGAAAAATAACAAAGTTATTCATTCAAACTATTTTGAACATTATCTAAAGAAATCCTAACCTATGCCGTACAGTTGACGTTGATTTGTTTATTATAATTAGCATTGTTTATCCATCTGATACCTCACAAAGGTGTCCCTTCCTGACTCCTTACAGTAAGGCGTCTTACAGTCAGTAAACCAGTGTGAGGTAACAGGTGATGCAAGTCAGTTTAGCACTGTAGTTACCTGCATACAGTCGATCAGTAATCAGATGACTCCACAGTGACAGGACACACAGACCTCAGCTTCTCCTCACACACCAACAGGGCATGCTTCTGTGATTAGCTCTCCTTCACCCGGCTGCTCAGGTTAACTTACTGTTGGAAGTCTTTGTAGTGCTCATTTAAAACCCTCGCAGAGACCCGGGTGTGTGTGTGATTTTTCACAATTCTTTCTGCCATGATCTTTAGTTTCAGAGCCTTTGACTTCTGTGTTTCTGCTTCAACACAAATGATAGGCTTTAGGCTTCTGCGTTCTTTCAGGTGGAGCAGCATTAAAACAATGTTTTGTGGTTAGCATTGTGTTGTGTTTGTCTATGACTCTGTCTATGAGCCTCGTGACTCTAGTCTAACATTCAGCCCTGGTGCTGCTCAGGCTCCTGTAGATTTGTGCAGTTTCTAAAATACCATTTTCACCATATTCTACTCCCTCTTTGTTCTGACATTGATGTTCTGCCACCTTCTTCTTGTACCGTTTTTCACGTAGAGTAACATAATTGTCATGTGATAATTGTGACTTGAATGAGTGTTTCCATGTAAGGGATCTGCAGCTGAATGTTTGTAAGTAAAGAATGAGAGGTAGCAGCAACAAATAGGGTTGTGATTTGAAAAGTTGTAATGGTGCAGCCTGAATGAAAGTGTCCATTGCCTTTGGAAAAAGAAACGATACAGGTTTTTGTTGTAGTCCACTCCTCTCCTGTCTTTAGTCTCTGTCCTGGCCCTGCCTTGGTGCAGTCTGGTGTGTAATCAGCCTCTCAGTTCTCTATCCTCCATCATTCCCAACAAGACAGAGTCTGGAACAACATAAAACATTCCTAATTTGGGATTAGCTATTATTACCTGCTGTAACTCCAGGGAGGGGGGGGCGGGTGAAAGGAATCCTTTTGTCTAAATGAGTACTCATGTCTGCTGTCAGATCCTATCCTGTCTCCTCTTGCTGTGAGCGGAGGGAGGAGGGCAGGAATACAGTGGCCTTTTGTTCTTCAGGTGGTTTGTTATAAACCCCCCCCCCCCCCCCCCCCCCTTGTCATAAGGCGTCCTGTGTGAGGACAGAATCAGTCAGGATCAACATCTGCAGGAAGGGGAGGAGAGGGGTGATGCCAGCAGCCGTCAGGGAGGGAGAGAGGCGGCAAATTAAAGTGTGACACAGCACTCTGGTTTCCTGGTGTGTGTGTGTGTGTGTGTGTGTGTGTGTGTGTGTGTGTGTGTGTGTGTGTGTGTGTGTGTGTGTGTGTGTGTGTGTGTGTGTGTGTGTGTGTGTGTGTGTGTGTGTGTGTGTGTGTGTGTGTGTGTGTGTGTGTGTGTGTGTGTGTGTGTGTGTGTGTGTGTGTGTGTGTGTGTGTGTGTGTGAGACTCTTCTGGAGCTGGTGGGAAGCTCATGTGTGTGACACCTGTCTCCCCGGCTTATTAACAGCCTGTTATGGGAGATAAGCAGATATTTGATCCTGGCCTCTGGATGACTTCATGTCACTCACACTGGATTACTCACATTCAGAAGATTAGAGCTGTGCTACATGAACACGCTTTCAGAACAAAATACCTCAGACTCTGTTTGATGAAAGGTTGACATTTTGATACATTGGAAAAAAAATCAGCAATGAAGCCTTTCAGAGGCAGCTGGGAACTGCTCCTGTGTCAGTGGCTGGCAGCAAGCTTTTGGAAAGCAATTGCATAACGTTTTCCCTGGAGCTGCAAGGGTTGTTAAATGAATCTGTTAAAAAAGGGCATGATTAAGCACTGATTTCCTCGTTAAGTAATTTTCCCTCAAAGGTGCTAAACATTTGATGCGCAGCTTCATACATTATAATACCTGGGAGCATCTATCATTTTTCCAACTCATTTAAGATCCAACCACGTTTCACGTGACGAAAGTGGCGAAGCGGTGTCAGAGCAGTTTGTACAGTATTTGAGTATATCTCATTTGTTACTTTTCAAAACTGTCAGGTTATATTAAATATTCCTCTTGTCGCAGACCGCTGTTATGTGTTGGAGAATAGCTTGCACTGGGCGTTTGTACAGCAGCTACCAACAGTGCCTCTCCATCACATATTATATGTACAGTCAGAGGAGCCTGGAGCCCGGCTGTCATTGGATTAGAGCTGGAGTTGTTTGTTGACACACAGGCAGTTATTCAGAGGTTCATCTGGGTAACATCATCTCATGCAGAACATTTGACTTGTTTGAATATTAGTTCTGCAGTGGATCAGTGTGTAGCTACTTTGTCTTGACATATTCTGCTCATTTTCTGGTTCATATGAATCTGGTGTCTCTACTGTGACATGTCTCCATGCTTTCATGTTCAAAAAGCTCTTTATCTTTCTCATACTGCCTGTGCTGCAGCACCTCTTTTCACCCTCTGTCTGAAACCAGAGCCCAGTCTGCTCTGATTGGTTAGCTGGCCGGCTGGTTAGCTGGCAACCGCTTATACCCCTTTCACACCAACGCGGTTCCAGGGCCGGTTCGGAGCTACAGCCTGAAAAGCACCGGTTTTCCCTGTTCACACCGCAGCGGAGCAGCCTCTAAGCTCCGGAATCCGGTTCGTTTCGAGCACCAAAAAGTTGTCCGTCTAGAAGCAAGAACCGCATACGTCACGCTTACGTCGGAGGGGGCGAGATTAACCTGAGCTAACAGTTAAGGCGAGTACGGCAAATAAAAGTTGTAACAAGCAGTAGCGCTGAGCAAAGTGACTAGAACGCAACCACACACTTGTAAAAAAAAAACACGCTTTATAAAGTCAGGCAACACTAACCAGGCTTCGTGTGATTCTGTTTATTTGACCATCCGTCTTCTGTTATTGATCATTGTGGAGAGCAGGCAGACGTTTTGTTTTGTATTATAGCAGCTATCGGATGGAATCAATACATGGGCTGCACAGGTTGTCATGTCCGACTATCAGTAGTAGAATCATAATAAAAAATACGCCGGTAAAATGTGCCTGTAGAAAACAGCTTATGCCACAATAGGATAGCAACAAGTAGTCAAGTTATAGTCAGTTTAACTTCGGTTGCTATGCTAACATCACCCATGTTATACCAGAGAAACTTTCATAACAGCGTTGTGATGCCAAACAGCGTCAATTCAGACTGACACACATTCACTTAAGGGGAACTGGGGATATGTATCAGCTGCTTGTGTGACAGTCAGACAGTGAATACTTTAGAGCCGTGTGAGCTAACCCGGAGCTAACGGGAGAATAAACTCCCGTGGAAGAGCAGCCAGCACTGCAGCGGTCGGTAAATGCCGCTGAAACACATTAATAAACAAAGAACCACGGCACTCTGGAGAAAAGTATAAGGTTGGAGAAGTCGTTATTTAATTTAATCTGGCTTCGTATGATTAAAAGCAACACGATCATCGACCCGACGCAGACCCCCATTGTTGTTGTTGTGAGCTCCGTTGGGGAGAAAATCAGCGACGTAAACTGTGACGTCATGACGCAGCAGCGGCAGCACCAGTCGGGCTCTGAGCGGTGTGAACAGAGCGGGAGCTAAACCGAAGAACCGGTTCTGAACCAGAAAAGCTCTAGCACGGAGCTAGAACGGGAAAAGCCTTGGTGTGAAAGGGGTATTAGAGATGTCCTGCCCCTTAGCCTATCACGTACAATGTGCTAGGAGAGAAACTCCCTCTGGAGGGAACACAGGGATTTTAGCCTTTGCAGACCATTTACATGCATTCTATAGAACACACTACAGGAGAGGGAAGCCCCCAAAAGCATAATGTGGCCTCTTTAAGCACCTACTTTTTAAGGTGCACCTCGTCATGCACCTCGTTGCAGCAATGCAACAAACCTGGGCAGATCTACTGGAGGGAAAAAGGCAGCCATAACACCTCTGTTCTTCACCTTTTCTGACTGTGTATCCCTAACTCCTTCACAACTGGCGTCACATCCACTACACCAGGGGTTCCCAACCTTTATTGTGCCAAGGACCGGCAGATACATTAAAAAAAAATCGCGGACCGGTTGTCAATTTTAACTGATTTTAATATTTACTCACCACCAGCAGGTAGCAACAGAGGCTAATTGTATGTAACAGCCTGAACAAATACTAGAACAATATGCATCCAAAACATATTAACAAAGTTTAAAAAAGAACCAGTGTTGTTTTTTGGTTTTTCGGAAAACCAAAAAAACGACGTTATTCTGTTTTAAACCAAAACGGGAAAACAGATAAATCAACGTTTTGGTTTTTGATTTACGGATAATCCAGTGAATGCTGGGAAAACGAGGAGAAGGCGCATTATGAAGGAGATGTCCGGTCGCCAGGGTGTGTGTGTGTGTGTGTGTGTGTGTGTGTGTGTGTGTGTTGGTGTGTGTGTGTGTGTGTGTGTGTGTGTGTGTGTGTGTGTGTGTGTGTGTGTGTGTGTGTGTGTGTGTGTGTGAGACACTGGCATTTGTTTTCAGAAGATATTATGATAGTGTCGTTCGTTCCGGTGCACTCCCGACAGCATTTAGCACTACATCGAGATTAAGATTAAACTAATTTATTTTGGGAACAGCCGCATATATGCCGGTGTCGGACAGACACAAACACACCGAACACACAGAGCTGAGCTGAGCAGAGCACATACACACACACATCATGCGCCTTGGTGACTGACTGGACATCTCCTTCATAAAACTAATAAAAGGGGGAGTAATCGGGCAGTTCGATGTGTGTAGAGATGTGTGTAGAGGTGTGTGTGGTTAACACGTAGCAGCCTGCAGTCACTCTTAAGCTGTTCTGATTAAATTAAACACAGCGAAGGCGGTGCGTAAAAAGGCACAGCTCTTTACCGAGTACGTCCCGCTGCCTCCTGATGCTGCAGCCATTTCATGAAGTGAAGGAGGTGTTCCTTCTATAAAACAGCTGCGGGCAGCAGATACCGTGAGAGTCCCCGGACATTAATTCATAGATCAAGGCAGACTGGTTTACTCTCCTGTTTTGCCAATCCGGTGCTTAAACAAATAGCTCTACACCCCTGGCCGACATGTCCTTAAAATGAAGTCCGAGTTTGAAATATATCTCAAATAATGTATGCACCATTTCCCCACATAAACATAACAGTCTGCAATCAAACGGTTGTCTCCTGTGCGCTCCTCTTCCTACTTGGCGCACCGGTAACATTCTCGTGCGCACAAGAGGCTGAGACCTATAGGCTGAGCCGCCGAATCCCTCGGAACATCATAAAGCCATTTTCAACGGTTTCTGGTGAAAGATTACTAGCTACTGGATGAAATAATAAGACTGGTAGCATAGGTGGCGAAAATTACACTTTTTGAAAAAAATATTATGATAAAATATTTTTATATATTTATAATTCTGCAAATATTACGATCAACTCACAGCTATTTCGCGGCCCGGCTTTTTAGCAGGTCCGCGGCCCGGTACCGGTCCGCGGACCGGGGGTTGGGAACCCCTGCACTACAGTACATGTCCAGTCCACTAACCATAGCATATCAGGTGCTGAGTTTCAGAACAGCCAATTCAACTGAATAAATGATACTGATTTTTTCCACTGTGACTGTGTAGCACTCCCATGACTAGTGAGCTGGACGTCATGTCAAATCAGTAGATTTGCCTTGGAGAACAGTTGGGACAGGCCAGTGAAACTTAACCAGGTGGAAGGAGGTAAACATCTGTGTGCCTCCAGATATAATATACTACAGCCTCTTTAAGGCATTTATAACTGCCCCCCCATCTCATCACTGCTTTGGTGCTCTGCACAGATTCAAGTTATAGCTGAGTGTGTGTCTGCACAAAAGGCTGCATACCTGTAGTGTTGCAAGGGAGAGAATATGAGACAAGATGACATTCAATATTGAGTGTGTTTGAACTCAGAGCAACCTTCTACGTGACTTTTGTGCAGTTTCTGAGGAAGCGTCCTCCACACTGATCTCTTTATGTCTCTAAGTGTTTGCGTCCTCCTGAGAAGCAGACAGCTGGGTGTCACCGTGTCCTCTGAACACTGATCCTCACAGGTCTGCACAGTGGGGCCTCATACATTTGGGATGATGGTTTGACTAAATAGTATTCCATCTCTTTATATTTGACTCACTTTGCTATGGCTATGTTCAGTCATTCAGAATTACCTTTTAGTTTCCATTGGTGTGTGGGTAAAGAGGGATCCTTCTTATTTAAACAATCGATGTCTCTGTAGAATTCCACCAGCAAACTCATCATAATGACATTTCTTTATTGGACTGGGTCTGAATTTCTTTGCCACTCACTTAGAGAACTTGTTGACCCATTGCAGTTAATGGCTATGATTGCCTCATTTGACGGTGATCATGTAGAGCATTATAAAGTCTGACCCTGCTGTTAATGTGCACTGTGTGAGTGCACTGCCAGTTGCTTGCTCGTGTCAATAAAATAATGCATGAAGTGGCGATTTGACTTATTTTCTTTTCAAAGACACTTGTCAGAAATAGTTCAAAACATCACATTTCTTATAAATGTACCCAGTGTCTGAACTGTAGTGGACAGAATGCGATGGCCATGAGATCTGAGCAGTGTTTTTGTTTGGAATGTGGAATAGTTTGACAGTACAATAGTCATGTTTTTCACTGGTAAACTAAAAAAATGTCGTCTCCAAGAAGATCAAAAAGATTAAAGCTATTTGTTTAAATTAGTTATATAACCTTTTTTTTTTAAATTAAATATTTGTCTCCCTTTCTCCTAACCTTAAAAGTGCCAGGTCAATCTGAACAGTGGTACTGTCATGGCCTCTGTTGACCTGGAGAGGAATGGTTCCAGACATAAACTCAGGATTCATAAAATGTACTGCACGAGAACAGCTGGGAAGGATTAAATAAATAAAAAAGGTACTCAAAAAGACAGAAATTCAAATGTTCTTCATCTTGTAAGTTAAAGAGATTTGTAGGTTGAAACGTTGCAACATTACATTGTTAGTAGCTTTCTAACCTAAAGGTAACTGATAGCCATTTTGGTTAAAGCAAGGCTTCAGTCGTTACACAATCGTTAAGTATTGAGCAGCAGGTCTTGTTGAGGTTTGGTTCCCAGATGTGGACCGGCAGATGTTCACACCTAGCTGAGCAGCCTCACATGTCAGTGGTAAGCCCCCCCCCCCCCAACCCCCACACACATTCAGACTGCCCAGGTCGTAAAAACCTGCTGCTTTAAAATCTTTATGACTCCAAATGTTTCCTCACATACCTGGCCTTTTCAGATCACTGTCTAATGGCGCATTTCCACCACACGGTCGGCCTCGGCCACGCTCGGTACTGCTTGGCCGCGTTGGGCCTTAACAGGGCCGGCTCACTTCATGCTGCGCTTCTCTCTAGTTTAGCATACTCAGCCCGACTCAGCCCTGTTTGTTGACCCCGATAGAACCACAATTTTGTCGGGCCAGAAAAGAGGTGAAATAGTGGCCCCGGGCCGGGCCGGGCCGTAACTAGGCCTAGTGGAAGCGCAACCAAAAACGGGCACGGCACGACACGGCACGCTTAAACCGCGCTCCGCGCCATGGTGGAAATGCGCCATAAGAGGACTAATAGTTGCATCCTGTATTGGTCTCCCTTCTTTGAATGCTACACTCCTATGGGAATCGTAGTATGTCAGGCTGCCCAATATTAGATGGATTTCGGCTTCTCCCACCTCAGTCCTCTTCATCTTCATCTAAAAGCTTGCATTGATACTTATATCTATGATCTGCTGTAGGATTAAGTCAGCCACTAGCTAGCAGTATGAGTATCCCAGTCTTATACCTTCTATGGCGTACTCCAACCAGTACCTCGGCTCCAAACCTTGGTTGGTAAAACTTGGCAATTTCTGACTGGCTCATTGTCAGGCTGGTAACCAGCCGTCCGGACTATCACACCGGGGAAAAGATGGAGAGGCGTTTGGGTGCCGTTGGAATATTCTCCGCTTTATCAGGGATGCAAACTTGTCACCACACAAATTCGCTGTTATGAATCCAAAATAGGTAGTTTGTGTGATTCATGTCGATCTGCAATAAAACAATGTTTTTAGGGTGGTATCGGGTCCTTGTCACCTTTGTCCTACCTGATGAGTTTGTCTCCCTGTTTATTATTGCTTCTTACAGTGGTAGCTAACAGACAGTCCTAACCCTGAGCTAAACTGAACACTGTTTTCCTCTCTAACTAATCTAACTTTCTCTCTGCACTCACTTACCATGGCCATCACATACAACAACTACTCTTTTTCCCACAACCCCTTGCGGCTTCCATCCTAAAAGGGACAGGCAAGGCCTGTAAAACCATAATCAAAGTTATTGAAACTGTCTTTGATGGTCTTAACGTTTTTGAGGTGAAGGTGAGAAAGTAGTATAGCAGTATGTAAAGTATTAAAGATGATCTAAACTGCTCTTGTTTCTCTTTCAGGACAGATTTCTGCGTTCATAAAGACGAGCCATGTGATACTGTGGGTGAGTACCACTATGTCAGGAGCTATCAAACACACACACACACACACACACACACACACACACACACACACACACACACACACACACACACACACAACACACACACACACACACACACACACACACACACACACACACACACACACACACACACACACACACACCCACACACCAATCATCCATCGACCATTAATTCTTCTGATGGTAACTTGACCAATCACAGGGAATATGGAGTTCCAAGACTGCCTATGAGAATGCTGCATTGCATTCAAATGATTCCACCGCAAATTTCACCATTCATTATAAATAATCAAACAAATAATTTTTGAGAGCCACCCATTTGGTCATAGCTAGCTAAATAGCTATATTTTGCTAGCAAGCTTTTTAGGTAGGGTTAGCTAGCTTGTAAAGTAGATAGCTAACTTTAGCTAGCTAGCTTGGGAGATAGATAGCTAACGTTCGCTAGTTAGATAAATAGTTAACATTTTGCTAGTTAGCTAAATAGTTAACGTTCGCTATCTAAATAGCACACTGACAGGAGTCTAGGTTAATTTGTTTTATAGATGTCAACACTGTGGGCTTTGTCTCCCCTTCTGGCAGTAAGAGTTGTTATGAACTATCAACATGACCTGGTATGGAGTCCGACCATCCGAGCTGCTTTGGTACATTTATAGACACACTACAGAGTTATTAAAATTGTGCTTGTATGAGATGAGATTTTGGGCCATGTTCATTTGTCATAATTGTTCTTTGGTTGACGGTCTTTTTGTACATGCGATAATTTTTTATCTGTCCTGTTTCCATCCTTATCATTTATTGGAAGATCTCCTTAAGGGGTTAGCCAGGACCGTGTCAGAAAACAAATTATTTATAGTTGTTATGTATGGTCAGACCAAGGCAGAGGAAAAAGCTGTCCATCATAGAAGGCATGGTTTAGCATCCGGTTAATATGAAAATTGAAAGTAGTTGAGTTCAGAACCAAAAAGGATCTTGAGCAGGAAGTTGAGAGCCTGCTCCTTTCTCACCCTGCACAAATCTCACAGTTTCAGGCTGAATCCATGGACTCATTGCCGTAGAATCCCTGTGAACGGTGAATTTACAGATGCTTTCATGTTGAAGTCAACTTTGGATAACTTTCACACATTGCACCGTTGATTAATTACAAACTCTTGTGACCATGTTGACCTTTAAGGGAACTGGATAAGGGAGAGGCAAGACAAAATATCAAGCTCTAATATTCATGTTCATTTCATATAGCCTTACTCTGCCACAATATAAATCGTTCCAAAAAAGGAGATGTAGCATGTTTCTCAGCTTTGAGTTTCCTTAAAGACTAGATCAGTCTTGAATATATTAATTAAAAAAAATGAATCACTTAATACATTGACCAATTGATTGAAACTTGGCAGCGGATTCCGCATATGGGCCAGTTAATGCTGGGCCCACAAAATGACACCCTGTGCATCTGCCACCCACATCACTCCAACATGGGACTGCCGATGGAACAGATGTCTGCTGCCAATATATTTAACTAACATAATAATTAGATAATGAATTGCAGATTAACTTCCTCTTGATCAACTAATCCATTAATCTCTGCAACTCTAGAATATAAACTCCATGCTGGCATTAGACTGTTAAACATGAATACACATTTAGTGTTCTTTGACACGTGAAAGTGTTTATAAGCACTGTGACAGTTAATTTAAGGTGCTATGTAGGAAGAGAGCGGTTGGTGATATTCTCTGACTGTTGCTCAGTGAACCATGTCAGCTCAGCCTCAGTGACCCACAGGTGTGAGGAAGCAGTTATTATTTCTTTTTTTACCTTTTTACCCAGAGCCAGTCTGTAGTAGTACCAACGAGTGAATTCAGTTGGACCTCCTTCTCCACACTTGAACTTTTTCTCTTATTTCGCACCAGTACAATTTGAACAGGTTCAGAAGAAGGCGCTGTAGGCAGTCAGAGTTCCATGCAAAATAACTTTATTTTTAGTACAGAAAACAAAGTCCAAACAAACCCCAGGATCATACTGCTAAAGAAACGTTTTAATAGCATTTGATAGCTTAAGCCTTCTTGTTGCTAATTGGTTGACCTAGGTGGAGGACAATAAACCACCTCCCCTATTCTTTATCGTAACCCTTTTTCGCATACGTTTCCGTACACATTTCCCTGCACTACATTGACCGACACTTGTCCTTTTGTCCACTTTCCTATCGTAATCATCAAAACAACTTCTTGAAGCACATTTCTGAATGTGACTTAGATCATTGTTCCGTACATTTTGCCTGCTGCTCGTGTCTCTGAGAGCAAGCGTTGATATGTGCACTGACATCCCAGCCCAAACACAACTGATGACCATGTGAAGTACCAACTGCGTCGAAACATGGATATATTATTCTACAGCATAGACAAAGATTTGAAAAGAAAAATGACCACTTCCCAGATATAATAACTCTCTTCTTTGTAAGACTTCAAAAGCAGTTCTCAGAGAGCACATCCCCCTATAGTCTTCAAGCAAAAATTAAGGAAGTGTTGCAAAAAGAATCAGAACTCCATCTATAAGCCAGTGCTTTCTGCTGCTCACAAATTAAAAACTGTCTCAATGATAAAATCAGCCAGTGATACAAACTATTCAAACACTCCACTGAACTCAAACAATTAACCTTCAACAAGCTATGACAAGTATTTAGCATTTACATACCCATCCACCCATCATAATCAACATCGTCCCTCTGTGGAATTTGTGGCTCTATAAAAACAGCATTGAACTTTTTTAACAAACAACACTCATGATGGTTATGAGCAGACCATTTGAGGGTTTGCCTAACAACCAGACCCTGCTTTGAATAGTTCATTACAGTTCAACAGCCTCGCAAACTGTAGCCTCTGAACTACTTCTAAAACAGTCTCAACAAAAACTGAACATTATACCCTTCACAAAGGCAGGATTTACTGCGGGACAGCTGTCTTAGCCTCAAGTGTCTGTTGTGTTTTAGGCAGTTGTATGCTGCTAATGTCTTTCTTCTTGGAAGCTGTAACTGTGTGTTTAGTTGTGCACCATTTCTTCCAACATAACTCGTGTTTTTAACATTCCGTAACGGAGAACAAACACATTGCATGGAGTTAAAGTGATGCTGCAGCTGTCGGAGAATCTTATCCATCTGGAGATCATAGACATTTAAATTTGATTATTTTTAATCTATCATGTCATACTATGGTTTGGCATCTTTGGAAACTAGAAGTTTCTCAAACAAATTGTCTTCCTTTCATTTATTTTTTAACAATTTGTTACAGACACATAAAAAAACCACATGTGGAGATGCTTACATAACTGCACCTTTTGTACATGAGATATAATCATTCGTGTCCTCGATGGATACCACAAAGACATAAATTGAACTTGATGTTATCAATCTTCATATTGTACAAACATTAACAACACAGTACGGATACTGTCATTCCCATCAACATGACCCTATGATACCTGAACTGTGTTTTACACTCCAGATGACACATGTACACGTGCAGTGAATAATAAAGAAAGAAAATAAAAGAAATAAATAGGTGCTGCTTGAGCTCTGGTGTAGCCTGCATTAATTGCGAACATCTTTCATCAAACCTATCTGTTTCAGCTGTAGTCTTGCTGTGATTTTCTCCATGAAATACATTTTTTTAACCTGTTTCTTCAATGAACCATGCTGGTGGGCCATGGCTTCAGCCAAGAAACTATTGCCATTTTTTTGCAATTAAAAGTAGAATTCTTACTAAGAAAATCACATTTCTATCTGTCATATCACTGGGCAGTAGACCCAGTACACAAAGTGGTAGGATCAAAAGTGAAGCTTAGGCCCAGTACCTTACCTTTCATTAATACTTTTGGAATCATGGATTATGGATCCACTGGCAGTTCTTTCATAGAATCAGAAAACTAGTTGTGTTTTGGTGTGACTATGAATACAAAGAGGACCTCTGATTGGCTCTATATCTCAGTCTTACCATGGGCACTTTACCCTTACCTAATCACAAACAGTATTATCAGCATGAACATAGCTATGAGGTAATGGAAGTGCCCAGTGCATGTGTGCAGTGAGGCGAGCTGCCCCACCCCACCCCGTAATACTCTCAACCTGCTAATCTCCCTGCGCAGTGTGTGACCCGCTCTGAGCCTCACTGCGATCACACACTCAGAAAAGTCCTGCTTCAAACCCTGCCACCCACACTCCCTGTTCATCCTATCTCAAGCTTTTTCAGGTCGAAAAAAGCCCTCAAACACACACACACACACACACACACACACACACACACACACACACACACACACACACACACACACACACACACACACACCACACACACACACACACACACACACACACACACACACACACACACACACACACACACACACACGGCCAGGGGCAGAGGTGGGAGAAGTACTCAGATCTTGTACCTAAGTAGAAGTACCAGAGTGTAGGAATACTCTGTTACAGTAAAAGTCATGCATTCAAAATGTTCCTCAAGTAAAAGTAGAAAAGTATTATCATCAAAATATAGTTCAAGTAGCGACAGTAAAAGTAGTGATTGTGCAGATTGGTCCATTTCAGAATAATATATATGATATGTTTTATAATGATTGATCATGAAAGTGTTCTCAAAGCTGGTAAAGGTGCAGCTAGTTTGAATGACTTTGTATACTGCAGGGTAGCTTGTGGATTTACTCCAGGTGGAACTAAAGTCTGATTTAACACTTGATTAGATTTCACATCATTCATCCACATCTGTGAAGTAACTAAAGGTATTAAATACATGTAGTGGAGTAAAAGTACACCATGTACCTCTGAACTGAAGTGGAGTAGAAGTACAAAGTAACATAAATGGAAATAATGAAGTAAAGTACAAGTACCTCAATATTGTTCTTAAGTACAATACTTGAGTAAATGTACTTAGTTAGTCAAAAACACTGGTAAGCATTGGTTCGTTTTCTGAGGACCCACAAGG